TCTAGCAGAACAGCCAATCAGATATTAGATAGTCACCAGTTTCACCAGCTTAATTTAGTTTCACCTGCAACTCTAGTAATAATGATAAAAGGTTGTTTATTAATATAATAATAATTAAAATGTTATTTACTTTTACAAAGCCTCTGCCGCCTTTTCTCTTTAATATTGTGATTTGAAAATTCATATTTATACTCAGTAAGATCTTAGTTTCAAAAATCCAAAATAATTTTTTAAAATCTCAAAATAGGCAAAACTTTTACTAGCAGATCCTCGTGACTTTGTTTATTGGTTAATCTATTTTTAGTATCATGAACATCACATGGATATTTGAATGAAACATAAGTTTAACTATAATGATATCTTGTGATTTTTTTTGGAAGTAGTGGACCCAGTGATATATTCGTGGTCATCATATCATATGATTAAACACTCGGCCGGTTAGGTGATGGTATAGCTTAGGCCGATTTGTTTGTGCTAGTAAACAAATGACGTGATTGCGTGATTTCACGCGATGTGGTGATAAGCCAATCAAAATGCAATATTTGGTGTAACGTAATATAACGTGATCAGTAACTAAAGTTCATCCTACCTTCTGTAACTTCCCAGCGAACATGGTTTTTTGTTTGTTGATTGTCTACTTTTCCGAAACCTTCCGACAATTTAGGTTGGCCAAATTTATATTGCTCGGCCCAAATTACAATCTTAATTTTGCCCATAGTGATATTGTTAAACTGCATAAAAATTGCCAAAATATCGATTTGTATTGATCTAAATAAATCAATATTTTCGTGGTCCCTGCACTGGATCCATTGATCTTGAAGTGTTCCTTTTTTTTTAATAAATTTAATTGGCAATTTTTTGATCAGGACTAAATAACCGCGAGACCGGTTAAAGACTGATCCTTATTCGGTCTTTCAAAGACCTGAACCATTCCTAGTTTAAATAAAATTTGAGCCAATCATATATGTGATTGTAAGCCTATTTATTATTATAAAAGATGGGTTTCGTAACTAACAGTGTTTCAATTGTATATTTTCGCCCATATGTATAAAACAAATAGTTCAATAATTAACAAGAAATTAAAGAACACTTTAAAGAATAAATTTTTTAACAGGATTCAGATTAAAGTTAGCAATATATTTATTTGACAAATGGTTTATAACAGAAGGTGTGAATTACAAGAAAGTCTTAAATATATTTGTATCAAATCAAATTATCAGGACAAATTTAAATCGAATCAAAATAAAAGACATCTTGTATACTATATTCACCTATTGCATTAGATATGTTTAATATTATTTACATAACTACAGTCAAATCTCCCAAAACTGATCCCGTAAAAACTGATAACCTGTGATAAGTAATAAAAAATCGAGCCATCATGTTCATTCCATAAGTCAAACCTGTTAATTGATACTTAAAAATTAAATATTTATTAGATTTGACAGGTAAAATAATTTGATTGGCTCAATTAGATTTTGTGTAACATATAAATATAAGAAATAAATCTAGCTAATAACGATAATATTTGTTTATGGCTATATATAGCTAATAGATTATTAGTATTTCAAAACTGATACGTAACCTGTCAAAATTGATACAAAATCTGGCCACCATGCATATCGGTTTAGGGAGGTCATACTATAATTACTTTATTTTAGCAATTGTAAAAAATATTTTATTAATGTTTCCTACAAATATTTTATTTAATTTAGTAAGTTACTGTATTCCAATAAACGATAAGATCTTACCAAAGACCGCTCATTTACTGACCTTTGTCATAAAATATGTAATAGTCATAGTGACTAATAAAGGAGGTCCCAGCCAACTTAGCAACCAATTCCACAATGATGGTTGTGCTTTATTTAATACATTGTTGACTTGGTATTCTGTCTCAGATAAATCACCAGAATTATCAATAACAAAATCAG